ATCTTCCTGAATTCTTCCAATTTTTTGTCTGTATTTTCCATTAATTTGTCTATTTTTTAGGCGGTAAATCTTTATGGAAGCCGACTGACACATCCTTCTTCTGTGGAGCAGCTGGTGGGTTCGAACTGCTGACCCTTCAGTTAGCAGCCTATTGCTTACACACTGTCCCAGCAGGGCCCCACACTTACCCTGTTGTTGTTAGGTGCTGTTGAGTTGATTCCAACTCATAGTGACCCTACGCACAACAGAACGAAACACTGCCCAGTCCTGCACCGACCTCACAGTACTTCTTATGCTTGAGCCCATTGTTGCAGCCACTGTGTCAATCCATTTTGTCAAGGGTCTTCCTCTTTTTTGCTGACCCTCTGCCTTACCAAGCATGATGTCCTTCTCCAGGGACTGGTCCCTCTTGATAACATGTTCAAAGTATGTGAGATATTGTCATTATTGAATTGTGTCCCCCCACAATATGTGTCAACTTGGTTAGGCCATGATCCCCAGTGTTGTGTGGTTGTCCTCTATTTTGTGATTGTAATTTTATGTTAAAGAGGATTAGGGTGGGATTGTAACACCCTTACTCCTTTGTTAAAGCCATTCACTTGTGGTATTTCTGTTATAGCAGCTGTACATGACTAAGACAGACGTTGTCTTGCCATCCTTGCTTCTAGGGAGCATTCTGGTTGTACTTCTTCTGAGACAGATTTGTTCATTCTTTTGGCAGTCCATGGTATATTCAATATTCTTTGCCAACCCCACAGTTCAAAGGTGTCAATTCTTCTTTGGTCTTCCTTCTTCATCGTCCAGCTTTTGCATGCATATGTGGTGATGGAAAACACCCCTTGGGTCAGGCACACCTTAGTCTTCAAGGTGGCATCTTTTCTTTTCAACACTTTAAAGCGGTCTTTTGCAGCAGATTTGTCCAATGCAATGGTCTTTTTATTTCCTGACTGCTGCTTCCATGGGTGTTGATTGTGGATCCAAGTAAAATGAAATCCTTGACAACTTCAAACTTTTCTCCATTTATCATGATGTCGCTTACTGGTCCAGTTGTAAGGATTTTTGTTTCCTTTATGTTGAGGTGTAATCCACACTGAAGGCTGTGGTCTTTGATCTGCATCAGTAAGTGCTTAAAGTCCTCTTCACTTTTAGCAAGCAAGGTTGTTTCACTTGTATAACGCAGGTTGTTAATAAGTCTTCCTCCAATCCAGATGCCACATTCTTCTTCTTACCCTAAGACCTAGTAATTACAGTCCTAGGTATTTACTGAAGAGAAATGAAAACTTATGTTCATACAAAGACTTTTCCAATAATGGTTATAGTAGCTTTATTCATAATTAACAAATGTTGGAAACAGTCCAAATGTCCATCAATAGGTGAATGGATAAACAAGTTGTGGTACTGTGTGTCTATAGGGTCCCTGTGAGTTGGAATCGACTCTATGGCAACTTCTTTTTTTTACATCTATACAATGGAATACTACTTAACAAGAAAATGAAGGGATCAGTGATAAACCAATAACACAAATGAATTTCAAAACATTATGCTAAGCTAAAGAAGTCAAACTCAAAAGTACTGGCTGTATGAAGTTATGTGTGAAGTTCAGGGGCATGAGGAAGTATGCTGTGGCTATAGAAATCAGATTAGTATTGCCCAGTGAGGGGATGGTTATTGACTGGGTAGCCTCATGATAGAACGTTCTGGAGTGATGCAGGCATGCTAGATCTTGATTAGAGTGGTGGTTACACGGGTGAATAGATTTGCAAACCTCATGGACTGTACGCATTTTGCAGAACAGAATTTCAAATTCTCATGGAATCCAGACTTTCTGGAGCCATTGAGGTTGGGTGACCCCCTGAAACTATTGCCCTGAGGAAATCTTTAAACCTCGAACCAAAGCTATCCCCTAAAGTCACCTTTGAACCAAATAATAGTTTAGCCTAATTAGAAAAGAATGCCTCCATTAAGCATTACCCTGTTTTAAAGAATTATCCACATGTGACCCAATTGACAACAACTTGAAAAGATGGATGAGAAGCTTAGGGGGCAGTGAGTTTGTGTTAATGTGAAATAGTTTGGAAAAGGTTGTCGGGAAAGGAGACTGCACCCAGTATCGCTGATTTTGTCCATGTAGAAATTGAAGTGATGTATACTTTGTTGTATATATTTTCATACAACAAATTGAAAAACCTGTGCATTTCTCTCTATATAAATTAAACCTTAAAAAAAAAGTATTACAGGGTGTTTTAACTCTGTAGTGGCTGAAGTAGGGGTCACACTATTTTCTATGAGAAGGATATTAAAGGGTATTCTGCAAGGTTTTTTCTAAAGTTGTGTTTTAGATGAGAGTTTACAGCACAAATTAGTTTTCATTCGAAAATTTTATACACATTATTTTCTGACATTGGTTGCAATCCTCGCATTGTGTCACACTCTCCCCCTTTCCCTTTCCACCCCGCTTCCCCATGTCCATTCGTCCAGTTTTCCTGTCCCTCCCTGCCTTCTCTTTGCCTTTGGGCAGGTATTGCCCATTTGGTCTGGTATACTCGCTTGAACTAAGAAGCACGTTCCTCACGTGAGTTACCGTTTTATAGGCCTGTCTAATCTTTGGCAGTGGTTTCAGCTCTCAGTTAGCAGGGTGTCTAGGGCCATAGACTGGGTGTTCCTCCACACAGGGTTTTTTGGGGTAGGAAAGGAGTGTCCGAGTACCGGGAACCTCCACAAGTACTGGGAAAGCGCTCCCACGTTTTACGGCGCCAGGAAGGATGCTGAGATAGCGGGCGGCGACGAGGGGCAGCCGCCTGGGAAATCCTGGAAAGTCCCGGGAAGTACACCGGAGTCCCCGGCTCCGCCGCCCCAGCGGCTCAGCACCGCCGCCACCAAGCTCGAGCCCGACGGCGGGCGCTCG